AAAAAAAAAAAAAAAAAAAAAAAAGAGTTAGAATACTTGCCTGTGGTGATGGGCATTTTCCCCTCATTGCTCTTGGGATTGCTCAGTGATAAATAAACTTTACAAATTAGTATTTAAAAAAGGTGATCTACTATCCAACTTGTGTGACAGAACGTACTAAAACCAGTTCAAAATTGAGCTACCTCATGTATGCAGTTGTGAACCAGGTCCTTTTAAGCGGTTCTGCCAGATTATGTACACTGGTTATTACCTGGTCTCCATCATTAAATCAAATTGAGAAAATGCTCAGACTTTTCAGTAACATGCCTGAATTTGTGGCTTATTAGCAACTATCACCGACATCTACATAGAATGGGACTGAAATTGCATGTTATCAGTCTGTTGTTTTACGCTTATTTGATTCTTGTGAGCCAATTGTTGAATGCACTTGTCTTTGCAGGTAAACTAAAGTACCATCAGAATAGCATAAAAAAAAGGCAAAAAAAAATATTGTATTTCCTAGTAGCCTGGATGTGATAGAGAATTACGAGACAGATTGATTATTTTTTTTCCCCTGCTACCTGTGGGTCATTTCTTCCTTATTTCCTTAATTGCTGGCTCCCTCAGCATTAAAGACGGCAGATCAATTGGGTTAATACAGAGGATTGCTGGGAGGCAGAGTACCATTGATTCACCAGCAGGAGCAGATCCCTACCTTCCCCAAGTTTTTGGTTCCCTCTTCAACATTCACAGCAGCACTGTTGACATGGTCTTCAATCCTGTCAATCTTCTCCTGCTGAGACTAGATGCAAAGGAATTATGAGTGAGGTAGCCTGCTGGGAAGCAGCAGTGAGCCAATACACACCATTTTAACGCCTGTAATCAGGGCCCCACAGCTGCTTTCATCTGCTACACACTGCAGCCGTGCAGCCTTAATGGTGGTTCATTAATAGCATCTGATAAACTGTGCCAAAACTACAAACTTACTGTAAAAAAATCTCAACTATTCAGTAATAATATGGAGTGGGTATTATACAATGTGTTGCTGCAGTTAGAGAAAAAAACCCCAAACATATGATTTCTAAATCTTTTCTGTGAGTACATTAACTCATATTCCAAAGGAAAAAATAATGCAAACTAGCCTTTTTGTCTCCTGCTGAGTTTCACATTCAAAAAAACAATCTATAAAGAGCATTTATAAGATCAGTACCAACTCTCAATATACAAAGCTGCACCAAGAAATCTAAATAGAAGTGTTCAATTATGACATTATAAACCACTGACTTAACTTTACAAAAGTAAAGAGTAGTGACGGTACTGAAAATATACTCAATGTTGCTCTCTATTTTACTGTTTGATTTTACAAAAACATTCCATCCTTTCTCCAAATGCAGTCAGATTCCCCTGCAGCCTCTCTCGGAGAACACCAGAGCGGAAGATAAAGGGGTTTGTGGGTTTGTTTGTTCCTATTTTAATCTCAGCAGTACCCAGGCTGTTTTATGTCACAAAATAATGAGACGGCTAATGTTCAGCTTAAAATATAAGGCATTCTGAACTTTTTGCCTCTTTCTAATTCAGAAACTGCTGAATCCACTGGCTCTGGTATCTTCATCTACTATCCAATCCACACACTTTGGATGCTTGCTATTATATTTAATGATGGTTACATGTAAAATCCAGAAAGTCCTGGGAACAGTAACTCCTCCTTTTTAGCTAAAGCTGCTAACATTTAGGCTACTGAATAAAAGTTTTTACAGTCCCCCTCCAGCCTAATGAATCTTGGTCTTTTTTTTTTTTTTGTATATGTGAAGCAGCACATATTCAGCAGAAAGGACAAAAGCTAGCTTATCTACCCCAACTAACCCAACAGCAAGGAGATTAAAGAACTCTCCTAGGAGATGAGAATTGTGGATTTAAATTCCCTGTGGCACAGGAAGAACTAAACATTGGGAACTGAGCGTGGATGATGAAGACCTTTCGGCAGCTTTGTGAGAGTAGAGAAAGGGCATGATAAAGGTGAGGGAAACTTCAACTTTTTCTAGTACTCCTGATTAAGCAAGAAAAAGCACCTAAGAAACACCCACCCTGCGCAGTGAAGGCTATCGTCACCATTACAATTAGAAATCGTAAAAGTGAATGGGACCTGGGCAGAAGCCTGCAGTCAGCGCTGTAGAGCTTCTGCTGAGGTTCAGCTTGTGGCCAAGGGCACTGGCTAGAACACCAGTAGTTGCTCTGGTGACAAGAACTTAGGAGCAATTACCAGTACTAGTGCTGAAACAGAAGACTGTTGCCTCCTCAAAAATCTACCTTGACAGACCCTGAATCAACAGGAGAGCTGCAAGGAGATCCTTGTAGCAATGAGTCACTGCTGTAGGGAAGGAAGAGCTGTTAGTTTTCTAACCAGACGGGGCAGCCGAGTAGTTAAACTAATGCTTTTGAACATTCCTCTTCCGTTGGCACTTGAAATTCAAAAGAAAACCTTTCACCTTACTGCTAGACAATTTGATGTAAGCATTATATGCATCATCTATGACTTTGGAAAGTATCTAATGTATCCACTTTGAAACTATAGGTGTATTTACCATAGGTCCCAAGTAGCAAAGACAGCACCTTAGTGCAGACATCTCGGCTCACTGTGGGTAAACTGCTGTGCTTCTACTGGCATTTTCCTGAAGCTCCTAACAGTGACTAGACTTTATAGTCTTGAATATTGGACTGAATAAATTCAGTTAATGTTATTCTGCTATTCTGTCACATTGATCCAAGTGATACTAGCACAGTCTGAGTTCAGACTACAGGCAGAAGTATTGCTCATCTTTTTTTCCCCCAACTAGGAGTTAACCACTCACCCTCTTTTTGTACAAGACTCTATCTAGGATAGAATGCAGAATTAATACTTACGCTGACTAAGAGAGAAAACTCAGTCACCAACTGGCTAAGCTGAATCAAGTCCTACAAATAAAAAACAAATGTTACTTTGTAATAGTTGCTAAAAACAAGAGCACCAAGGTGGCAGTAAGGGAGTTCCAACATACCTCTTCTAAAGTTTCCCAGGACTCAGCTGCATTTTCTTCCTGAGGTATTTCGGGAAGGCGGGAGTAGATCTGGATTAAACTTTGGGAGCCGTCCTTCACTTCCTTGTTATATAAAGTTTCTGAATGAGAAACATGATGTTTACAAACAAATGTACTGAATCAGAATGGAGGTGATGTGCAGCTTCTCACTCTTAATGTTTCTCATGGATAAATTGATACTAAACCTAATTCAAACCAAGCAACAGCCCTGAAAATGATCATATAGGGAGAAGTCTTACAGCACTAGACAGTTTCTTAAAAGGAAGTTATTGCCAAAGAAATGGATTCATTTCTATCAGCACACTTTCACAATCAGTTCTGAGAATGAAATTATACTCCTGAATTCAAAGTCAGTTAATTAATTTTGTATCAACCGAGCTAAGAAAACTGAGCTTGGGACAAAAACTTTTCATTTACATATGACACATAAAAACACTGCACTTCCAAAACTGAACAGACAGTTATTCATTTTATGATTGATTTTATGCTACCGGTTTGATTTTCAGCTATTTGGGACTAAAAGAAGCTGGAGGAAAAAGCTTTCAAAAAGTAAAAGCAGTGAAAACCAAGTAACATGCTGCCCAGCATTCAGTGCTGGATCCAGTTGGGTAACGGTACTGTGAGGATGACAAACGTTTGCAGCTCAGCAGTGTAAAGGAGATACTTTGGAGTATCTTCCTTTCTAAATCACTTAGAATGCAGAAGAATGCAGAAGACATTAGACAAAGTATGGTGGAAAAAATGGGCAATGAGAGACAGCTAAGTGGCGTGGGGGAGAGCAGATATAATGAACAGACACACACATACCTCCTCCAGTCAAAGAGACCAGTACCAAGCCACTACAGATGTAATGGACATGTGCATAATTACGGACAAGTAATTAAGTGGTAATAAAGAACAAACAAGTTTCGCTTGTCATAGCAAGGACTGAGGAATAGCTTGAGAGTATGAAAGGCAGACTGGAGAACGTATGTGTCTAAACACAGTGCAAAGATCATGTTAATTTAGACAACTTCCATTTCTGTAGGAAGATAGCTACTTTAGTAGGACACTGATGTTTCCTTCCTTGAGAGGGTAGTATCAAGAGAAAGCTTAATATGGGGAAGACGGGTTAGGTACGTCTACCAATACTGAAGTGTAAATATTGCATTAAAATCTTTACAAACAATGAATGTGCCAAGGTACTATCATAATGTTATATAACTGTTACTACAACAGATATGAATAATGGAAAACAAATAAAAAGAATCATAGTCATTACAAAAATTAGTAATAGTGCATGCTTATTCATGGAATTAATTTAAGATAAAATAAAAATTATACATTTTCGTAACATTTGTCCATTTCTCAGCATTTTTATCCCAGGATCTCAAAATACATTAAGGACCTAATCTTCCTACTTTCAGATCAATAGAAGCCTAACATTAATGAAGCTGATATTCAGCCATAATTACTAAGTAAGCAGAGTAGCTCAGTAACAACAATGGAGTAAACGATCTGGGGTTTTATTTTGGGCTTGTTTTTCTTTCTAATTATTTCTACACCTTTTCCTTTAAGAATCCAGGAAGGCACTTCACCTTCTACAATCGCCACCTGTTCTTCCAGAACATATTTTTAATTTTTAACATCAGATTAATTAATGTTACATAATCAGTTCTAAAATATTGCTTTTCCCTTTTCAACGTAATTAATCATATATCCAAATGCGTGCATTTTTGGAGAAACCAATTCCGCTACATATTCTGACATTTAACATCGGTTTTGAGTATTTTGTTCAATTTCAATCCTTCACAATCCTAATTCAAAAATCACGTTTCTTCTGCCAAGAAAAGCATACTCTTCACTAATCAGCCAGATGCATGCTAAGTTGGTTGAAATTAAAATATTAGTAATTCAAAAGCAAAAAAAATGCTCACTAAGCAAAATTGCCTCCTCACAAATTATGTTCCCTATTCTGGTCTGTCCTTAACAATCTATGCTGACCTATTGTAGAAAAGCACATCCTTCAAAGTACATAAATGATACCGAAGTTTTGCATGACACGCATTCCAGAGAACTTATCTAAGTAGGTTTACACTGTTATCATTTTCTAATAACTAAAAATTAGTGGGAAAAAATTCCTCAAGAAAATTCTTTACTCACTTCAAAAAACTAAGGTAAAGAACAAGAAAGGTAAGAGAAGGTGAAGTCACATTTGGGCTGAAAGTATGAGTAAAAAATTTATATTCACTAGTTCATGTTTTATCAAGTCTAACCAATTTTAATAGAACTGAGAATGGAAGTGGCTCCACCAGTTCACTTACAGCATCTCCACAGAAATGCAATAATACAAAACACCTCTGCAGATTTCATAGAGCAGCTTCGCACCTCATTACACTCAAGATAAAAATCTAATGCTCTGCAAGATTCAATACGTTGCTTCAAAGATTTTAGTAATTTTAAGAGTGGAGTCTCACCTTTTGTTAATATTTGTTTAAAATGCAATTAAATTCCATTTCTATTGGACCTCAGCTGAGGATGGTGAAGGGGGGAAGGGACTACATCATATCACTGACATGCCTTCTAAATGGGCGATTTGAATTTGTAAACTCCTTCCTTCTCTACCAGATGGGAAGCAACATGCTACAAAGAACAGGCGTACTGAAGCTCCTTTGATTAAGATCAGCAGCCAAGATTTGCTTTCAGGACTGCAGCCTCTAAGCACAAAAGAATAGGCAATATATTGCATCTGTGTTAGCAATTCAACAGAGCTACTTTCACAGGCAGACAAACTTGAAAAAAATATCTGGTTAATTGTATTTAGTTGTCTGCCTGTCTGTATGTTTCACTTCAAATGGGGTGAATTATTTCCATATTCTTGAGCGGACTTGCAGGAGCATGTCATTCCAGTAATATTTTTCTGTTCTTCTCATCCCAATCTTCTTGATCAATTTCTTGTCTTTCTGAAGTGCTGTGATGCTCAATGTCCTCCATACTTTAAAGGTATTTCACATTAAAAAACTAGTCCTGTTCTTTGAAATTAAACTCTAGTTCCTATTTACCACCTATGTAACTGTTAGAAAAGCAATAAGCTAGGACAAAGCCTTTCCAATGAAATACCACAAAGTTACCAAAAGAAGAACTATTTTAAATTTAGTTCTGATTGTAACAGAGAAGAGTTCACAAAGAGCCTGAAAGTAATGGCTAATATGGATGAAGGGGATCACTGAATACCAGACTTCACTATTCTAAAACTCAAAGACTGAAGACAATGAGCTCCCCCAAAAAGAGGCATTGACAAATTCAGCAAATTGATTAACAGAAACTATGGGGAAAAAGTTCCTAAAGGATAAGGGACTGCAGAAGAGCTGGCAGACACATAAAATAGGCTATACTGAAGATGACAGCAAATTGTCCTGATGCAGAGGAAAATGTTTATGGCATCAGCAAGAGCTCTTCAAAGCCCTGCATATCAAGAATTTGGCACACAATTAAGGTGAGTACAAGGAATAATATAAGCATGGAAAGTTAATATTAGAAAGACTAGGACATAAATAAATTGCAACTACCAAGGGGCATAAATGGTAGCAAGAAAGTTTCTATGAATGCTTTTGAAGTTAGAGGAAGATGAAGTGTAACTGCATTGCCAGGTAGAGAAAAACCAAAACAAAACAGATGACCCAGAGGAAGATTAAGTCAGTCTTTATACAAACAGGTAGCTGTAATCAAGTATTTGATGCAATTAATTTAAACAAGAAAGAAAAAAAAGGATAGGCTGAAACATAAAGAGAACAGGTTAAAAATATTTAGATGAGCTAGATCTATTCAAGTCCTGAAGGTTTGATGAAATTCACTCTAGAGCATTTTAGAAACAGCCTCTGGAAGTTCAAACGTATTTCTGAGAACTTGAATAAGAGGGTCCCAGAGGACTGCAAGAGAACAGATTCAGTTATCTTCCTTTCGTGGAGGGGAAGTAGAATGCAGCAAATAGGCAGACTTTAAAACCCACAAAGATATTAGGACAAACTACTGAACAATCAACTACAAGATGCTGAAGGTGTCGAGAAAGTCAAGATACATATGTCAGAAGACAATTCAGTCTTTTTTATTGGCCTGGTAAGAAGGTAGACATTTTTTACAGTGAGGGTGGTGAGGCACTGGAACAAGTTGCCCAGAGAGGCTGTGGATGCCCCATCCCTGGAAGTGTTCAAGGTCAGGTTGGATGGGGCTTTAAGCAACCTCGTCTAGTGAAATATGTCCCTGCCCATGGCAGGGGGGGTGGACTATATGATCTTCAAAGGTCCCTTCCAACACGAACCTTTCTATGGTTCTATATTTGATATATCTTGACGTTCATAAGGCTTTCTGATACTACCGCACATGACATTCTCAAAGCAAGCCCAGTCTTCAAATCTACTTTTCTCCATCTTTGACCATTAGACTTGCTAGCTTGTTAATCACACTTGAAAGAGTTCTTGTAGTTCTTTACGTAGCAACAAGAAGGGTCATGAAATCAAATCTGATGGCAGGTTCTTCTACAATGCCATTGAGAATACTCTTTCAATTTTAAGACACATGAAGTTTTCAAACAATTTTAAACAATGCTGCTACTGCAGCAATCAAACTAATTACTGTTATGTGGAAGGATTTAATCCTGATGTAACCAACGTTCTCACAGATCATTAGCAGAGAACACCAGCCGGTACCAGGGCATAATAAGGGCTTGCCCTGAAGACAGAATGGTAGAACAAAGAATGAAAGACATTTTGTACAGAAATGAGGAAAAAACAGCAAACATGTCTGACTTGTAGCACGTTATAGTGTGTTTTCAAAGTCTTTTATTTAAATGGATTTATTTACGTTTTCTGCTTTCTTGTCAGTTACCAAATTAAAATGCTACAGGAAGAGATGTTCCCCTGTATTGGGTTTGCATGGCAAAGTTTTGGTAGCAGGTGGGCTACAGGGGTGGCTTCTGTGAGAAGCTGCTAGAAGCTCTCACTATGTCCAACAGAGTCAATGCCAGCCAGCTCCAAGACGGACCTGCCACTGGCCAAGGCCGAGCCCATCAGCAACGGTGGGAGCGCCTCTGGGAGAACAGATTTAAGAAGGGAAAAAACTGCTGCAAAACAGCAACTGTAACTGGAGGGAGGAGTGAGAATACGTGAGAGAAACAGCCCTGCAGACCCCCAGGTCAGTGAAGAAGGAGGGGGAGATGCTCCAGGCGCTGGAGCAGATTCCCCTGCAGCCCGTGGGGAAGACCATGGTGAGGCAGGCTGTCCCCCTGCAGCCCAGGGAGGTCCACGGTGGAGCAGATCTCCTCCTGCAGCCCACGGGGGACCCACACTGGAGCAGTGTGTGCCTGAAGGACTGCAGCCCCTGGGAAGGGACCCACGCCGGAGCAGTTCATGAAGAACTGCAGCCCGTGGGAAGGACTCACATTGGAGAGGTTCATGGAGAACTGTCTCCCATAGAAGGGACCCCACGCTGGAGCAGGGGAAGAGTGTGAGGAGCATATTACACTGTCTGTCATATAAAAATTCTTTTCTTCTTGATGTTACAAGCACTAATACAATGAAAATAGCCTAAATGATTACTCGCACATTATCAAGTGATTTGCAGGAGGAAAAAAAGAAGTCAAGTTACTGTGAATTATGAATGTAAGTATTCTGCTTCCTATGAACAGTCTTCTATTTCAAGATCCAAGGCTATGGGATCTTTCTCAGGGAAGGCCACAGCTATTTTATTTCTTAAGATACTTAATTAGAGCATTGTCCACTTGTCAAAACTCAGTCACAGGTCATGAGGAAAGTGTGGTGTAGGGAAAGAAATCCACTTCTTGATTAACAACTATTATTCAACTGAAATCTCACTTGTTTACTTCATTTATATCTGGTTAGAGAAAATGCGGACTGGATACAACAATACAGATGTAATAGATACAGAAATGAAATTCTACTACCTCCTCCTACAGTTGCAGATCTTGTTAAAGAGGCATCCTCCTGTCCTTCAAGTTGCCTTTTAAGTTCTTCTGCAGATTCAGAATGGAGCTGCAGGAAGTCTTTTATGGCAAATGAAGCTTCCTCTTTAACAGGATTTATCATTCGCTGCAGAACTGGGATGTCTTCCTGTCGGACTCGCAAACAGAGTTTCTCCATCTCTCTCATATTGGCACGAAGTTGCTGTAACAGTTTTAAGAGTTATTTTGTAGGTTACTACGTAAGAGTACCAGACACCTTCAGTGGTTGGCAAGCAACTATCATCTTGATTATCTCTAAATAATCACTGAAAGTGCCATTCCTAAGTTTTAATAAACCAAGACCAAAAAAACCCTCAAAAGTCCCAGGTTTCAAGCAATCCCTATGTTCCAGGTCACCTTTCTCTACATCCATTTTCTTTTCCAGACTGCATTGTTTGACTGCAGCTTGTTCGCCTGTCAAAGATGCCCCCAATTGCTGTAAAAGCCCGTGCCTCCGATAACACAGTGAATCCTCCCCTTGAACCCATCCTGGGTCTCCCAGATGCTGTTACTTTGTGACCCAGTACCATTCCCTGGCCTTTTTATAATGTTCTTGCAGAACAGTCACCCCATAAAAAATACAGCGCTCTGCAGAGAAGGGGCTTGTCCTCACTTAAGGTAGCTCAACCTAAAGATGATCCCTTCTGAGTAAATGACCCATCTCCTACTCTTCCTAAGGCGGGTGACAGTCCTGTAGCCGACAGCGGTACTGAGCGATACAGCGATTTAGTCACCGCAACCAGAGCTCAACACTGTCCATAGAGGAAGGCATCTGTACTTCCAAGTGCTTCTTACTTGGAGGTGCCACTACGTCATAACCAGCTCGCTAAATCTGTTGTATTTTTAATATTTGCTTGTGTTTGTGAGTTCACACAGTTCTCTACCTACACAAAAAAATAAATAAGGGTCGCAGCTCCCAGCACAGCAGTCCCTAAGCAGTGCAGTGAGGCATCACCAGGACATATTGCTGAGTCTTTTTGGATGCAGCCTACCTTCCATAAGGGAAACTAAGCTACCTGTGCCAGGAGAGTAAGGACCACAGATCGAGGAAGAGATGGTACCTGTTATCTTCTCTGGTGAACCAATTTATCCATAGTATCAGCCAACCACAAAACAAGGGAGAAATATTTTTGAAGCCATTTTGATTTTCTTGCTGTCAATTTTATACTTTATCCACTTCTCCAAGTAAAGAAGTCAGTGGGTTTTATTTTGGGTTTCATTTAAAGTATTTAACTAGTTTCTTCACTATGTAATTACTGAAGTAATTTCAGTGTCTGATCAATTTAGGCCTTTGCCAAAATATTTACCTAAGTTGCAACAAGTTAAAATAATATCCAAATACAGTAAGTGATTGCTTTTCAAAATCTGCTTTTTCTTATAATGAGCAACTGTGGTGATTACAGCACTTCAGGATATAATCATTCACAACCCCCAACTACCCCAAAACTATAATTTTCTTTTTGTAAAGACAACTTCAGGGACAAAGGAGAAGGATTACTTTTTTTAAAAATATTTATATTCTTTTTCCAGAAGAAGGACAAATATATTTGACTGGAATGTCAAATATAAGAAAACACAGAAATATTTCTTTAGTTACTAGAGTTTTGAGAAGATATGAACTATTCACAACTAGCAAGAAGAGTCTGTGTGTAGGCATCGCCTGTGAGATAAATTTCTGTCTACAGCAAAAATAGAGGGGGTTTTTACTGCCCAGGCTTTTAAAATCTAAAAATGCACACAACTTGTCTTTTTCAACAAATGAAAAGAAGAAATTTATAGTTTAAATTATACCACTTATTGTTTTAGGACAAAGTTTTTATCTAATTATTAAAAGAAGACTGTAATAAAAATAATATTCATTGCATTACATTATACGGTGATATAATAAATTATATTATATATTGCACTATTTACCAATTGTTTTGAATATTCTTCTCATAGCAGAACAAGAGAATAGATTAACATCAGTGAGTGGTTAGAAAAAGAAAGGTTTTCTTCAGTAATACAAACCACATATGGGTAATGCCTTAGAAAGGCAATATTGCTTACCTGGAAAAGCAGGAACTAGATGGAACTTATTTTATTTATATACCCTAGTAGAACTGATTTTTTTAACAGGTATGAAAAAACATAGTAGAAATATAATTAGAGAAGAAGGAAATTAATTCAACAACAAATTGAAGTAACACTGCACAAGCCATATTAGGCAAGCAAAGAAAGAACTACCAAATTCGTAAAAATCATTTGTCAAATTACTAAGACTACATGCTATTGTGTGCTTAAATTAACAGCACTACTAGCCAATTTAGGCTGCATTATTTAAGGCTAACCCCAGGTAAAAACACTGATTGACAACAAAAAAAAAAGGGAGATACAAAAAATAACTTTGTGAGATAGAGCTGTATTAGAAACATGTTACCCAATAATATTCCTCATACATTTCTCATCTTAATATACCTTGCTCTTCCTGTTATCTTCCTCCCATGGTCTGCCCATAAGTACTGAAAAAGGGAGAATTTCATCACTGTCACAGTCCCCCACGTGCCAAAATTCTCTGTTTATAAAATCTTGGAATTTAATTTAGAAGACAAAACAGGACTATCTAGACACAACATTTAATTATCTATATTGTGAGAATTATATGCAGGGGACTGAGTGAAGTTGATCCTGCTGTTTTGCTTCAGGAAACAAAATTATTATTATCCTGTCTTTGGCCACAATGGAGACAAAAAAACCAATAAACCAAACAAAACCATGTTGTGAAATAGTGACAACAGTGAATTTGGGATGAGCTAATAATGCTTCCAAAGCAGTTTCTTTCAAAAAAAAAAAAAAAAAAAAAAAAAAGGAAAATTTCCAAGTTGAAATTTTGTTAAAACATAGCTCTGCTAGGGATTTGTACCACTGCAGCTGCAGCTCAGGCAAATAACCAGTATAGCCAATGCATGAGTATAATGAAGACGTTTACTGTGCAGTGACCAACACAACCACCAACTCACTGGTGGAGTTTTCAAAAATCCTGAACAGAAGCTTCAGGAGATACAAACAACCCACCTTAAGGAATGGCTAAATCAGATCCTCACTTTCACTGTTCATTATTACCTTGCTGATCAAAGAGAAATATTTGTGAGAAAGATGGAGGAATCAGATGATGATATTTGCCTATTTGGTGAAATTTCATTTTACTACCTCTTCCTTTGTGGTTTTGGAGAGAGGACCCTTGTTCCATTTCCTGTCAATTAAACAGAAGCCGAACAGATTCAGCCTAGCAAGAAAACTAAGCCCTGCTGCGAGGAGACATATCTTAGGACTCACCAGGGTGTAACAAGGTAAGTGTTATGGATATGCAAATGACTATGACTTCTTTTCATAATCATTTTAATGGGACGGAGTTTAATTTCTGGGTAGAGCATAAAAGTGTATCACCCTCTTCCCAACTGTTTCAACTTTTAAAACCAAGCTTACTTAGTGAGGAAGGTAATAGAAAATTCTGTTTTCATTTATGGGAACTCTTGAGTTTTGAACTCACCAAATTCAGCCCAAAAGACACAGAATTTTTCTTTACAATATTTGCAATTTTGGTCTGTTAACTTCCAAAACCAAATAATAGTCTTTGTTTCAAATGGCTTTCTCACAAAAACTGTAGGAAAATAAAGCTGGCAAAAACCTTGGGAAGTCATCCCTTCAAAGCATGATCTGCTGTCCCTATTCTGACAGTTGTTTATCTAATCTGGTCTTAAAAGGACTTTTTTATGAAGAGCTATAACCTCCTTGATACCATACTGCAAGAATTCATTATCCTAATTGCTATAGCATTTTCCTCATGTCTAACTGAAATCTCTCTTGCCTCAGTTTAAACCAGGTATTTCTAATCATCTCTGTTCAAAACAGAGAAAGACAAGCCCGGTCCTCTTTGCAACCATCTTTTCCATGTTTGCAAACAGACAACACACCACTGTCAGGCATTCTTCGGGCAAACTAACTGATTTGTCAGTCTCCAAATAAGTCTCATTTTCTCAATTTCTGACCATTTTCACTGCTCTCCCTGAATACTCCCTAATCAGTCCACAGCTTCCTTAAAAGTGTGGTGCCCAAACTGGACTATTCTACCTGGAATCCTACTACTGCTGAACAAAGAGACTGTATGAGAGACCACACTGACTACTCTCCTATTTATACATCCCACCACATTATTTGGCTTTTTTGTATCACTACCACACAACTGGTTCACTTTTACTCTGTCCTTCAAGTCCTCTTCTGCGGAAGCGCTGTCCCAACAGCTTCCCACACTGGATCTATACACCCAACGATTGCCCTTGTTCTCATCCAAAAACATACTGATTTTTCAGGTCTTTTCTCAACGTCATTATGAATTCTAACTCTGTTCTCTCCACCAGAATCCCTTAGTCTCTCCCAGCTTTATGCTGTTTGCATATTTTTGCTATATAATGAAACTACTGTTACATAGCTATTATATAGTGCTTTCATCCCTAGATCTCAAAGGACTTTACTGGAGTAAGGTTCACTATTGTTCTTGAATAGATGCAGAACTGGTGTAGGGACAAAAAGTTTGAGCCCAATTTTTCTAAAGTGTCCACAAATTTGGAGGTAAGTCTGGGAGATCCACCAGGATGGTGGATTCACTATATTATGTCAATAAATGTAATGGATTTTTTTCAGAAAAATAAATGAGAAGAGGCATGGTTTTCACAAGTACTGTGGAAAAAATCTATTGACTCTATCAACACATCCAAAATGGAAAGGAACAGAGAAGTCATATATAATGAAGTTGCTCTGCTTTTCCATTCTTTTCAAAATCTTTACAAATGCATTCAATAAAAAATAAAGAATAAATTAGAAACTTCTACCAGAAAGTAAAATACAAAAGGAGACAAAGGAGCCAAAAGAGGGCTTCATTTAAACTTTTTTTTAAATCACTGTTGCTGAAAATGACTGTACACATCTGTCCATTAAGCTTACCTTATTACTCAGCACACAGTTTTAATTAAGTAAGAAAAGGACTTATTATAAGTATTCAGTTTTTTGAATTATCTTTAAAATCACAAAGTGTCTTTCCATATTCTGCTCCTCCTAAGTCGTTTATGAATGGGACTTCCTCTACAGATGTCTTGGACATATGAGAAAAATTATAGACTCCCTAAGGAATTCAGAAGTCTTAGCAGCAATTTTCAGCAAACCAATAAACGTTATTCATACAAAAGAGTAAAAATTCTTGGGTTTTTTCAGTATTTGTTTTTCAGAACAGTAATTTTTCTTCACTGATAGTGACAGCTGAATTTTCAAAGTAACGTAACTTGATGAAAAATAGATGCCGTGTTTCTATAGGCTTACTGCAGGCTGACTTAAAATACCATCATCACTTCACACTCAAATACGTAACACTCGTGAACATCACCACCAATGTTATACCAGCAACACCCGTCTCTTGTGTGCAACCAATTTCATTACAATTGAGAAAAAGTAATGGATGACAACAAAGAAGGAAATAATGTAATTCCTATTCAACTGCAGGTAAATGCACACAGCGACCTGCAGTAACTTTCCATGGCAAAGAGCTTGGGCTGCATTGCCACAGCATGCTGTTAAGGACACATAACACCACAAGGAAAAGAGGAAGCAACAAAGAGCATAAGGGCACCTCAGCGCGTCAGTACTGACCCAACGTGAGGCTCCCAGCCACCAGGATAAATACCAGGTCTGCATGGTTCCACCTTGTACAAATGTCAAAGGACTGAGATGGGACCAAAACCCTTGAAAAGGCAGCATGGACTTGAGATGTAGGATTATTTCCATGTAACATCTGGTATCTCTACCAGTTATGGAAGTATCTGAACTTCTATCTAAGGCCCTCAGCAACAGCTACCTGAAAATAGCAGTGTTTAAGTATCTGCTTCAGTCATGTGTCCCTGGCAAAACTGATGTTCCCAGAGTGCTCAGAAACTCCAGCACTTCACTTACTCTATCCCCATCAGCCTATACTGCTCCTAACACTACCAGCTAACTGAATCGTGGTGGTCATGCCATTCTCGCATTCAATCTCTGCCATGATCATTCTCTTTTTCTTCTTCTTGGTTGTATTATCATTAAATGTAATGTCATATACATTTTCCAATAGTTTACACTTTAAACTCTTCATGCTGAAATAGTACATGGATGACGCGGGATCTGTCATATCAGTCAGTCCCTTTTTCTCTTTATTTCCTGTCTTCCATCCATTAATCACTGTCAACTCTCCCTCCATTCTGCATGTTGTTGTTTTAAATTAAGTAAATAGCACCTCCAATCAAACCCACCACCTTAAACCGTCTCAAACATAAATATGACTTTTAAGAAAGTACTGCATTAGCTGTGCAAATGTAACGCTGGACTTTGTTCAAAGTAATGTAATAAAGGATATATGTTACAAATTTCTTGGCACAGGTGAAAGAGACTCTGAGTTTAAGGATATATTTATCCTCCAGATGGCCACAGGCTGCAACACTGAGCTGTTTTTACATGACCCTTCATTGATACCATAAACAATCTCCTGCAGCAACAAACTCATCTATCTTGCTTCTCATGCTCTCCCAATATATTTGCGTAGTATTCCAGAAAGATACTTAATTTGAAGACTGCATAATTTTAAAGATGGAACAGAAGACATGAGCCATACAACTAAGCCTTGAAGATTTATGCAAAAGAGCTGACTGAAAACCATCTTTTATTTGTAAATCATTTTCAGTTGAAATGGAAACCATAGAAGTGGAAAAAAAAAAAAAAAAAATAGATTTTTCAAGTAGCTTTCCAGGTCAGAGCAACGCAGTGGAGAGACTACATCTACCTAGGTATGTTTTGCAGAACAGTCTCCTTTTGTGGACTGAATACAGACTAAAGCCAGGTCATTCACCCACAGTATTTTTCCTCTTTTTGTTCAATGCCTTATATCCTCTCTAGTAACTGCAGCATTTTTCTTCCTCTCACTACGAGTATGATCAGTGCAGTCCTTGGGTGTTACAATAAAATATTGCCATTTCACTGAAATTAGCTTAAATCTTGCAATAATTAACTAATTGTATGGTACCATCAGCATGTATGTGGGCAAAGCCCAGCAAAACTGCATGTTTATTCAGACCCTAACATTTTACAAAGTCCACAGACTGTCCCTAAAAACAAAAATCTACAAGAGCACATTTGTGAAAACTAATGCACAGTATACAAGAGCAATTTTCTCGGTATTTTAGAAAGGGTGTCATCATGCCCTATACAAAGATGTCCCCAGTTTCTTCACTTTCCTTTTTAGAGGTTTTTAATGTGGCATCCAGTCACCAGAAAGAAGAGGTATACATTTATGCTCATCTATACTTCTATTATAATTTTGACCATCATCAAAACTACAACAGAAGTAATTATTCTGGGTAAACTGAAAATTCAGAAAAATGGCTAATTATGTGCACATGGATTAAATGTAGAGTGGCTGTGCATATATTTGTCTAAAACCTGTGGCGGATGCCTTGGGTCAATATTGACTTAGGGATTCCTAATGTATTTTTACAACATCTAATTCTGAGAGCAAAGTGTGTGCTGCAGAGAACATTTGGTATCACAATAATTAATCTGATTTCTTCGCAAACAAACAGATCACAAGTCCATTGGTAAACATTTAAACAGCTTACAGCAAACACATTCTACATGTCATATAATTTATTATCAAGTACTCCAGACTCCTAACTATTTAATTAAAACAAAGAGCTAGGCTACTCTTCTTGTATGGACCCAAATACTTAGTCTGCTCTCTGGGTACCAGAATGTGAACCACTTTAATGCGTAACTTGTATCCAGATCTAAAAGCAGTAAGCATTAAATAAAATATAAGAAAATTTATTTTGGCTGAAAGTGGCAGGCTTTAGGTTCAAGACAAATATAAATGTTTCTAGAGACAAATAGGAGGTTTTATTACTAAAGCACTTAATGTATTTAAAAATACCACCTTCGATGTGATTATTTTTTCTCTAACTGTTGATAGATTTTGTCTTGCTAAACAAATGATACTGATAATAAAGAGTTCCAAGAGAAGCCTTTCCTACCTCTCAGATGTGAAAATAGATTAGAGCACAGACATAAACAAACACATGCTTACTACACCACACCTGTTAGAATGGCTTTTTTTAATAGGACTTCCACGTTTGGAAGACTCTTTCGATACTAAGAATAAACTTACATTCATATTTCAAAAATACCTGGTGAAAAATCAAAATAAACATTCGAACCTCCAAATAACAGAAATATCAAGTGGATTTCATATATAACTTATCATCTACACTGAAAAGGCTCATTAACACCTTCCATTCCTCAAAAAAGATACATAACCCCAGCTCTGCCTACTGTCTTATACTGTTGTTCCTTTGGGATTAAGTTCTTATTTCTGAGGGTTTTTTTTCCATTTTTATTCTGGTCTAATTTCCCACAGGAGTCAGTAAGGCAATGCAACAAACACAGGAATTTACAGTATTAAAATTATGAAATCCAGTGGTTTAGGACTGTGCTATCCCTGCTGGCAAAGCCTGCTTGTCTAGATGCAACGTAGGTCACAAAACGTTTGTTCTAGCAACTGTCATGTCCCTACTCTGAACAACATATATGAAACCCACCAAAATGCCTCTCCTGCTGGCAAAGATAAGCCTTTCCCCAGAATTTTGCCAGTACAGCATGTTATAACCACTAGCTGCTGCATCTGCATCAGCAAACTTTGCAGTGCAGATCTGGTCTTTGTGGTTTTCTGTACTGACAATCTTCTTTGGCTGTGTCCTATTTAGCAGTGTGAAGGCTGATGTTTGGCATTAGCTTTTGCATCACTTTCATCAAGACATGCATTTTTTTAGAAACAGATGTGAGATTCCCTGTGTGCTGAGTTATGGATGACTATGCATGAAGTCACTGAGATGATGCCATGCTGACAAATGTGTCTGGTATTTCCTCCTTTGATGATATTACGCATCTAATGAGATTTGCACACCAAACTAGTAGTGCAGATGTTCTATGTTTGGTCTGAAACCATGCTTTAAAATTAACAGTATGCCTTATTGCAATTCCTGTCTTCTAATTTAGTAATGTAAGAGGATAGTTTGCAAAAGACCAGAGTCTCCAAACTTTTGTTTATTCAAGAATCCTGAAACATTTCTGATTGTATTTGCCTCACAGGACACAATTAGGAAATCCCTGCTTTTTAAATGAAGTAAAGCAATACCATGTACTTGTCAAATCCACCTTTGAAATATACGTCTCTGTGAAGATCCATCCCTGAGGTAACCAGTACTATGTATGTAATTTGATTCCATTAATATCACAGTCATTTTAATATCCTTACCTGAACTGTTCGTCCTGCGTTAATGTGCTCTTCGTGCAATCTGTCCCAAAGCCTGCATCTCTGATACTAAAATAAAGGAAAAATACTCCATGTAATTGCTATTTTTGCCAACTGGATATGCAGAAAAAAAGGAACACTCAGTAAAGAACCACTTTAATTTTCCAAAATTGACAGTGAAGAAGCTGAGTCATAAGCATTTCCACTGCAAAATTAGAGAGGTAAATGGCAATTATTTTGTGAATAATTTTGTACAATGTATTTTACTGAATTGCAGATAACCAGGGTTCAGCATCAGTTTTTAACAACAAAGAGCTATTGCAGCATCCCAATACAGCTGTGGCATGCATCACTTGGTGGTCAGTAAAACGAAGGACAGAAGGAGGAAAAAAGAATGGAATTGGGGATAAGTAGTACTGGTCACATAGGACAACAAGGTATCCGATATTATTTACAAAGAAAATTGCATTCATTACACAACACTACTGTCTACATTTACACTTACCGTTTCTATATGGTTACGAGAACCATCAGAGCAGATTTGGCACCTGCATGAGGCTCCACTAACTTCAATGGGAAACTACCCATACAGCACTTTCCACAGGACAGAGACCAGAGTAATTATTCCAGTAGCAGAGCGCAAGTTTTCCAAAAGAACTGCGTATCATCCCATATAAACCTTTTCATCATTAAAATAAATCAATCCCTGCTATTGGCAGTTGACATAAATAATATAGACACTATCATGAAAAAGAGTAGTAAAATAACAGAAGTAGAAGCTGTGATTCCTGGAATATGTGCTGAAACCATCAAAGAATGCATTTACAATACTAGACAATATTAGAACATTCTTTTTGATTGTTTAAATAACAAGACAAAATACTTACCATGATTTGTGAGGTATTTTTATGTAAAGTTCAAATTCCCCAATTTCTTAATACACTTCATTACCAATAAATAACTTTATCTACAGCCTACATCTTTCCTTAATTCTTTTCATAGTTTTAGAGGCCACAGCAATAAGGATCACAAGTTACTCAGCTTCCTAAAATACAAGAAATCTGAAGTTACTTCTTATTTTCAGAGAAAAAAGTTCTTTCAGATTATGGTTTTGTAGTGCTATGGAAAAGGTTTAGTGTTCAATTAAGTCAGATTAAAGTGATTTTTCTCGGAAACTAGCAACTTCTGCATAAATTATTATGCCATTAAAATCACTACAGTTGTTCTTTAAAATAAAATGGACCAAAAAAAAATCTGTATCAACAGCAGATCTTCCAATTCAGTCATCCATGAAAGAGTACTGAAACAGGAATTTCTGAAGGTGGAACAGAAGGGGTTGGGGGAAAAATTACCTTTTCAATTTCAACCGACTGTAACATATTGTCCACATACCGAATAACAAAAAAAATTTCCTGTTTTCCAGTTAAGAACAAGAAGAATTCCTCCAGGAAACCTTTATTGCTCTTTATAATTTCTACTAGAAATGCTCAGCACATTTATCTGCTTTATATATTTAGAAGTTCTTTTACGTTGCTTAAAAATTCCTAGTGTGCTAGTGATGGCCTCAAAGAATCCAATGACTTAATAATACGCCTAGAGCAATGACATTCATGTGGTCAGAGAGTTCCTCCTTGTTGACTTCTCTTTGTCATCCAACACAAAGTAGGTCATACTGCGCAATGTTCACTGTGGGGGACTCAAGGATAGCAAACCTTGAGAGGAGATGGTATTGGCATTATTCATCATTAACAAATACATGTAAAACTAAGGGAGGTCCATGAAGTAAAAAACACCTATGGAATCCTAACCTGTTAAAGCAGGTCCAGAGGAGAGCCACAAAAATGGTCAGAGGGCTGGAGCACCTCCCCTATGAGGACAGGCTGAGAGAGTTGGGGTTGTTCAGCCTGGAGAAGAGAAGGTGCCAGGGAGATGTGACTGCAGCCTTTCAATATATAAAGAGGACTTAGAAGAAAGACAGAGACTTTTTACTAAGGCCTGTAGTGACAGGACAAGGGGAAACACTTTTAAACTGAAAGAGCCCAAATTTAGATTGGACATAAGAAAGAAATCTTTTACAGTGAGGGTGGTGAGGCACTGGAACAAGTTGCCTAGAGAAGTTGCGGATGCCCCATCCCTGGAAGTGTTCAAGGTCAGGTTGGATGGGGCTTTGAGCAACCTGGTCTAGTGGAAGGTGTCCCTGCCCATGGCAGGGGAGTTGGACTAGATGATCTTTAAAGGTCCCTTCCAATGCAAACCACTCTGCGGTTCCATAATTCTGTGATATTTAATAATAACTGTGCTACAGCCAAATATTTTGTATTTCACATCAGAAATACAAAATGTAAGGTTACTCTTAGACACTCAATCTCTTTCCCTCTTTGTCCCATTCTCTTTTGAGAGGTCTCTTTAGAAAGAAAGCTTCATGCTTATGCTTTGGATCCCTTCCATTTCTGCTTGAAAGTACTCAGTGGACATGGAGAGAACTCAAAGCTTTTCATAATATTCTCTGCGTTAATTTTTGTAGCAGGTAGTGCTCACCAACATTTCTAAAAGCTCTACAATAAATATCTTATACAAAAGCATACACTCAGATGAAGACTGCAGTAAGACTCCGATATTTTAGTTTCTCATTTTATGTCACCTTTATGTATCTTCCCACAACAATGGCCCCCAATCCAAGGTAAAAAATGTTTTGCACAACATCCTTTAACTTTGGCACAGTCACAGGAAACGAAATTAAAACTGAAAGCAACAGAGAAAAGGATGCCATGTCTTACAGCACTTTTTTTTTTTTTAAGGGTTGTTGCATGTCACCGACAAAGTTTAGGGCAGCATGCCAAAAATCTCCACCTTCCTGTAGTACCATGACAATTGCTTTCATCTAACAGAGGCTAACAGAAAGTTGTAACTCTTTCGGATAAGCATGCATTTTATTCCCTGTTTTGGAGTGAAGGCCATCCAACCCACGGAATGTGTTTTAGAAAACAAGAACTCTTTGGGGAAAACATGGAAAGAAAAAAAAAAGGCAAGTATAGAGAACCAATTTCTTAAGGACAAAATTTTTAAGTCTTCAGAAACTGCCATATGGAAAGTTGGACTCTCAAATAGTTGAGAAGCAATGACAATGGATTTATGGTAGCCACTTTCTCTGAAAAGGGGTGCTCAAGGTCAAATTTCATTATATATTGATTTTATAGTTTCTTCAAACAGTGATTTAGTAGATTAATTGTTTGGACTATCTCTGGAACCTAAGGTTTAAATCAATATTCATGAAATGAGGTTAGAGATATTGGCTTCATCATAAGTAAATAATGTTGCTGCTCTAAGCAATTTGACATAATTACTGATTTTTGCTTAAAAGTAGCCTGTAAAATAAACAGGATCAGATTTTACAAAATTATCCTTTTACCTCTAGGGATGTTTGGTTTACATGGCTGAAAGTTAATTTTACAAAAAGTATTTTAGAGAAAACCATTTAAGCTGCTGATGCTGACAGCTCATAAAAGTACTATAACACATTCATTTTGGCTAAAATACATGTAAAAGATATAAAATGCAAATTATCATGGAACTATTTCAAGCAAACTATTGATAGTGTTCTGATAATCTAAAACTACCTAGTGACAGATTTCAAATTCAAATTTGCCATATTTTTATTTTCACCTTCTTATAAATCTATCAATAGAGTAAACTTTGGAATACTTATAGTTCTTACAGCCAGAAAAGTATTTAAAAAAAAAAAAAAGAGAGAGAGAAACTTTCAAATTTTAAGAACACTACACTGAGTGTGGACTCTTTAAAGAATCGAGTATTTAGGGACTATTTTTATACTCAGATGTATTACTTTTCATAAATGTTTGTGCCTTATATTTTTTGTCATACACAGAAGTTCTGAAGTCTTCAGTACTGCTGAATACCTTCTGGTATAGTTACCAATTGTTAATTTAAAGGTTTTATCCATAGTTACTTTTCTATTAATTACTAATTCAAATATCAAATCTGCCAGAATTTATACTGTCTAGGGATGCAGAAATTTTTAACAGTGTTCTGAAATCAGAAAGACAAATCTACATGAAACATTGCTGCCACTTCTTGCTTTCATAAAAGTGTTGTTCCTGAGGAAGGGCAGTTAACACTAATTTTAAGAACTGTGTTTACAATTATTTAAGGATTTTTCTGATGTGCAGATTTTATTATGTTGACTGAACAGATCATTCACACTGATACCACCAACGACCTGAAAATCTCAAGAAATGTCCAAACCAGATACTTTTAGATTGCATCAGATTTTTACATTCCAAATATAAAACTGATCGGCTCAATAAAGCATCTTGGTATTTCAATGTGGTCATTGAATGCCATGACAGAAACACTACAGTCTGTATTGCCTATAATTAAACTCTGGCTAAGCATGAGTTTCTCTAACAATGCTTTCAGCAAAGTGTTAGATCAGAACTAACCTAAAAACTCATTTTATCCTGAGTGCTATTATCTTCTGCATTTTCTTCTAGACACAGAAATCCGTTCTTGCAATGATCTCCCCTTCTGTCAGCAAAACAGGAAAGCTTAACACAAATGAGTTGCTGGGCCAATAAAGACTTCAGCTTACCAACATGTGGCTGAATTAAGTGGAACCTATTTCACCCCTTCCCTGACACCATGGTAACACTATCTGGCTAGATACAGCATAATTATTCTTTGTCTAAATACGTAAAAGATATTCAGCAGGATCAACCACTAAACTGGCTACCCCTCCTCAGTGACCAGGTTCTGCAAAACAGAGCAATTCCCAAGATCATCTCTCACCCTGTTAAGTACTACACAGGGTAATGACTGATAATGTCTCTGTTTCTCACTGGAGCACCCAATGCCTTTTGAAGCTTCTTGACACGGTGTTTATACACCCTAAATCCGGGAGAGTTTACATTCGTGGATGATACCTAGCAAAGAATCTATTTAGCTGTACAAAATAATACTTTAAAAAAAAAATAATCAAGAGTGTAACAGTTATGCACATCCCCTCCATTGTCTCTCCCTAATTACCACCTTACACACATCACATGCTTATCTCTACTTTCAAAGTGCAACAAAACCATTTGTGTACCGCTAATGTGCCCTGCTAATCACTTCCCATTCTGTACTGGCAGGTCAGCTTCCCCCTCCCATCAACAGACTACCTTTTTCCAGTGACCACCCATTTGTTCCTCTCAGGAAAGGCTGCAGCTTTCATGCCACCCTTTTGCGGGTATTTATTATCATCCCTTCGCTTCTCAATGCCTTCCTCAAGACTTTGAAGAATGGAATGCCTCACTGTTCCACACTCACTGATGCTGTTGGTGTTAACTGGAGAGCTGCCCTGAAGAGATGATTTTTAACGTAATTTTAACATCAGCCAACTACAGACCAAAAACTCTACCTCTCTGCAAAAATGAAATCCCTCTTGGTGGATTATGGCAAACGCATGTTGCTTCCATGAGCAGTTGTGCAAGTTCTGCTTAGAGAAAGAAGGGAACAACCTAGCTACCAAGACTGTCTCTATTTGACTGAAACGGTTTGCATGGAAAAGCTAGTATGATGATGCCCTCCTCTAGACACCTCTGAATCCTGTCCTATTCCACATTATTCTTCACTAGTTGCCCTTAGCTAGCTCTATGGCCACTGCTAGGTATGGGCCATGCACACTGAGAGACATATGCACTGCTCCATGGAGGCTGTAACACCTCTCCAGGGCAATTTAACAGTCAAGGTTCCTTCCTCCCCCATCATCTCACCCAAGAGCAAGCTAATACTGACTGACTGCTCTGTACTCTGGCTACAATGCAAAGTAAGTCAATTAACTGTTCTTTGTGGGACAAGCTGGAGAACAGAAAGCTGCTCCTGACCACTGCAGAGCAGGGCTGCTGCAAACTGGCCAATTCCAAGGCAAAAAAATGCTGAATCAGCTGACATCTAGCTAACATAATGAATTATACAAATATGGAATAACGAAGAGTAAACAACATGCTGTGACTGAAAAAACAGGTCATCTCATTCAGAAGTTATTGCTTCAGGCAAATATTATACTAATAAACTGTTCAGTTTGTGAATATTGCAGTTCATATCCTTACTGTATCCTTATTACACTCTTACCAGGAAAGAGTCAAATTATTATCTCCCATCATTAGTCTCAGCAGCCGCAGGTCTTCCTCTATTGCAGTTTTTCTCTCGTCCCATGGTCAGCCATCATTTCTGCACTTTCACCTCCCATCTGAGGTACTTCTTGACTAGCTCCCCCCACCCAATTCTTTATCCTTCATTTACATGAGCCAGGAAGAGCTTCCTCTTGCACGTAAGTAAGGCAAAGTAAGAGGATGAAGCAGGGGGAACACAGAAAAATCATCTCCCTGTTTTCAATGTCAGATTCAGGACCAATCAAATTAGCAACTCCAGGAAAGAGTCCTGCTAATTTCTAAGCAGAGGAGCATGCCTTAGTGTTGGGTAAATCTTTAGCTATTTTCAGCTAGTGAAGTTCAATCAGTATCTACCGAGTACCTGCAAACCATTTTTTTCTTTTCAGAATCATACCTCTTGGCCAAAAACCGGCAGATTTTTAGAGGCACAGCAAAATGTACAGTCCAGACAAAGACCACCCCACAAAAATATCTCAAGTGTTCCAACACATGTCACTGCTTTGAAAAGAAATTACCACTAAGCTATCAATCACCTGCTATCACTTAAAATAAGCACTTCTTATCAAAAGAAATTACTATCAGTTGAACAACACATTATTTCCTGACTATGTTCTCAGAAACAAATACATGGATTTATTTTCCCTCCTCCCCCATCCCCAGCCTACTCAAGGCAGAAACCTGGCATGGAAAATTTCATCCAAAAGGTTACCCACTTGGTAAAGTGTGCTGGTTTTGGCTAGGAAAGAGATAATTTTCTTCATAGCTGCCAGCTAGTACAGGGCTATGTTTTGGATTTGTGCTGAAAACAGTGTTGATAATACAGGGATGTTTTGGTTACTGCTGAGCAGTGATTACCCAGAGCCAAGGGCTTTTCTGCTTCTCACCCCACCCCACCAACGAGGAGGCTGGGGGGGCATAAGGAGTTGGGAGGGGACACAGACGGGACACCTGACCCCAACTGACCATATATATGACATTCCATGCCATACAACATCATGCTCAGCATATAAAGCTGGGGGAAGAAGAAGGAAGGGGGGGATGTTCAGAGTGATGGCATTTGTCTTCCAAAGTCCCCGTTAGGCGTGATGGAGCCCTGCTTTCCCAGAGATGGCTGAACACCTGTCCACCGATGGGAAGCATTGAATGAATTCCTTGTTTTGCTTTGCTTGTGTGCATGGCTTTTGCTTTACCTATTAAACTGTCTTTATCTCAACACATGAGTTTTCTCACTTTTACTCTTCTGATTCTCTCCCCCATCCCACCAGGGGGGAGTGAGTGAGTGGCTGCATGGGGCTTAGTTGCTGGCTGGAGTTAAACCACAACATAAAGTTCCAGTAAAGTTATGGTAAAAGTTGTGAACAAATGACAGCAGCAAAATGCAAAAGTTTCAACAATACATTATACGCACCCTTCAGTCATTTACCTTTCAGGAAATCAAAATTATGTTCACCTATTTCCTTCCAATTTCTTCATTCCTTCCCAAGGTGTTAAAAAAATGTAGACAGTTGTCATACACCATTCGGATTCACATATAGACTTGATTTTATACATTTTGAATAAGCCTAGTCAAATTAATACGATGTATGATTTTTCAGAAACATCTGCAGAACTGCACAGAACTTCAGGTGTTCACTGATTTTTCTGTGGTGGTAAGGACATTCTTTTCTAAACAAATATGCCTTGTATGGTCATTTCAAAACTTCCACCGCAATGTTGGTATTATGACTGTGTTTCTGAGTCACTCTTCCTTTTTTTATTGGTGTCACCTGTTTTACTAAATCTCTTAGCACATTCCTCAACAAACCAATTTCTCTGTTTCCACAGGCTATACCTGTACTAATAAACAAAGACTGAGAATGTTTTAAGTCTGAAATCTAGTCATCTGTGCTGTTAAATTGTTAGAACTGTCCCTGGCCATACCAAACAGCTCTCTCACATAAAGAGTTCCTGAGAACAGCCAAGGAGTTATAAATGCAGAACAGAGGCTATTCCCCATTAGCAATGTCAATGCAGCCACCCTGCTTTGCAGAATATGAGGATTTAATAATATGGACATAAGCTATTTCATGCCAGACAACTATCCTGGGGATGTTTATTTTACCAGGAGAGGTTTTGCCACAGCATATGCAAGAATTTAACTTCTCAGAAGCATGTTCAGTTTCAGTGTTACGTGTGAGCTATTGTCAACAAAAGCATATAAACATGCTACAGTTTTGATAAAATTCTTTTTCTATTTACTTAAAATAATTCAATCTATTTCTCTCAACTCAATTTAAAAATATATAGAGAAAAAGATAGGTATAAACAGTAAATTACTCAGAATAGCTGGCAGCAAACTACTGGGACTTAAAAATAAAGTAAGACTATTAGGCTGCTTTCCCTACGATAACTTTTTAATACAAAACAGTAATGTTTCTCACTCTGTAGGCTGACTAGTTACTACAAATGTAAAGGCCTTTGTACACACTGAACTACCAGTTTCATTTTTAGCCAAATTTGAATTAAAGATTTGAATAATCAACTTTTCATCAAAATCTCTATATAATCTTCCAGCATGACTGCTTCTGTACTGTAAAAAGAACTAGATTAGTAAAAAGTGAACACTAACCTTCTCAATATTTATTTGGTGTTTTCTTAACCTTTCCAAATCTGTTGGAATTGCCACTTTAATGAATTTCTGAATGGCAGGTTCAATTCGACGGAGTTTAACTTTTTCATCATCTTCAGACATCCTAAAAGCAGCTTTCAGGTCAACACTTTCAGGTCCAGTATACCTTCACCAAGGTAGAAAACCTTAAAAAAAAAAAAAAAAAAAAAAATTACAGGCTTACAAAAATGTACCAGTCTAGAATCACTTTTTAAAAGAAAGCAAAACAAGGGAAATCAGTCTTTCCAATAATCACATCTATTCCAAAACCACATTTGAGCAGCATTAGCTACTTAAAATCCAGATACTGTATTTGCACTTAAATATATTATTTCCATTTATTTACAGGCTTTGGGGATCATTTTTCATTGATAAAACTTAACACTAACAAAAAAAATAGCTAAGTAATTAAGAGAAATGCAAACATGCTTTGCGGCATAATGATATATGGAAACCTTTGAAAAAACTTTCCAATTAGATGCTTTGCCTGATCAGAGTACAAGTTCTGCCAATTTACATTCTGAATTGTCTTTAAAATTGTAAAACATGTCCTGAAAAGGCACCAAAATAAAATTAATTTTTGAAGTCCATTTCCTAGAAAGATTAAGATCTCCTGAATGAAGATTTGCACCCCAAATTGCACTTGTCCCCTACTGAAAATGACTAAGGCATCACCTAACATAGGGTTTAAATAGGTTGCTGAAATATTTGCAGGACCAGTAGGTACATAAGCAGCCTGAATTCTGTTCCCTGCATATGCATAAAACATAACTTTGGAGTTTCACTTCTTTAAAAGAAAGATATGTAGAACTGTGTATAATAGCACTTATCTACAGAGCATATGAGCAATATAAAGGAATTCCATTATGCTGAATGCACACAAGGGGAAAGAAAAAAATTATTGTGAGATAACTTTGTAGTTTTAATACTGTATAAACAGAAGTTATTTAAATGAGAGTTTCTTTCTGTATACTCCTTTTCTAACAAAAACAAGAAGTGGAATTGCAGACACATATGAGAAAGTTTTGTCACAAGCGTCAGTAAAAAGACGTGTTACCAGCAACTGCATCAGATGGCTTTCCCCAATTTTCCTCTGGCAGTAACCAAACTCATTTAAAATAATTAAACGAGCGTAATTGTCCTGGTACAGAGCAGGCACAGCAGAATGTAACAGGTTAAAAAATGTTCCTACTTTTCCCCACAGCCAAACATATTATTAACAGTGAAATTAGACATTATTTTTCTCACACCTAACTATGGTGCGAAAGTGTGGAGGGAGAGTGTTGAGCTTTTTCTGAGACCTGTGATTCCTGCAGGCAGGGAGAACTTGAAGGCAGACACCAGTTGATGGCACTGGGTCTTCAACAGAACCACTCAAAGTTCAGTCACAGCCCTCACTTGCAGGCTGCAGGGAGGATATGTACAAATCTCCCTCATCTTCAAAGGAGCCAAGTGGTAAGCATCTTCCATCAGGCCAGTGAGAAAGCTAAAAGTGCTTCTGGCAAAGGCAAGCTGAGCTTCTAGAGGAAAATAGTCCCAAATTACTCACCTTCTCCAACACAGCTGCAGAGAAAACAATGTTGTGTTTTTCTGAAGAACCAAATGCTAACAGAAGACTCTCCTTTATCTATTGCACCCAACGCAGAAACTGAAAACAGTGGAAAACTGACTATTTACTGAGAGTAGACCAAGTTAGGTGAAGTCAATCTTCAATGTTTCACTGATACATCCTTCCCTTTTTCAGAACCTCAGAAGGAAATTATTTCACCAATCGACTTCACAGTCACTGCTATTTTGCAGCCATTGCTGAATTATCCCCACTCCAAATTATAGAGACATACTATCAAGCAGTCCTACAAATCCCCTTCTAACCCAAGGTATTTAATATTAATAGTTCTTTGTCCAAATCTTCAAATAAACATGCAGTGGGTGGCCTCGCATTTTGGGGGATGTAAAAAGAACTTTAATCCTTTTGTGTTCATTTACTCTTTCCACCATTCTAAAAACAGTGGCTTAAATGCAAGATGATAAAAAATACATTGATTCTTCTATTATACCTTGGTCGCTACAGTCCCTAACACTTTTGAAGGAGCCACTCGTTATCTCACAACTGAACTCCATTTTGAGCCTAGAACAGATTTTTTTTGCAATGAGCAAAAGATAAAAAGCATCCTACTCCAAACTGTAGTACCTCCTCTTCGAACACACATTTAATTTCCTGACAGCTTACACACTAATCCACAAGTTTATGAGCTAGAACGAATTAAAAATTGGTTCCTTAAAGATATTTAGTAGCCCTGTCATGCTTTTCTTTAATACTGAATCATCCTGAAGAAGGGATGACACAAATTCTTCAAACTTACTGCACAACGTGAACTCACAGAAACCCACAGTCCGTTCTGTCTTGGAATAAATACATCAGAGACTAGCTAATTCCATCATAATTTTGTCCTTAACCTTTAATGACATCTAGATATTGATGACTCAAAATTGACAGTTTAGGTGACTTATAAACTGGACCACTGTGAAAGCAGAGTTAATGTAACCAACAGCCATATGTCTTGAGTAGGTGATCTGAATAAGCAACAGTTTTAAATTCAAAGATTTGGCTGCATGCAAGGCTCTGGATAGTCATTTTCTTCTTAAAAATTCCCAGACAGTAAACTAGCTTTCACGACAGCATCTACAAATTTCTTTAAGGCACTGCTGCCTAAAATTCACTAACAGTAAGTGTGAGAAACTAAGAACGAAGTATAAAAACTCCTAACGTTCTCATCAGGTCTCCTGCTTAATGTTCTCTCTAACAGTATAGTTTTAACAAACAATTCTAAGACATAAATTACCAATAAGAAAATATGCAAGGTCTTACTTTTTTTTAAGTCCATATAATATGGTAAATAAAATTAACATTACAACTTTTTGTGATGAGCTTACGTTTGTTCCAGATGCAATTTCAAGGAAATCTAAGGCTTCTTGCATACTTTATTGGGTTTGTGTTTCCCTAAGCATAACAATTAATTTCTAAAGCTGTAATGCCTGGTTTTTGAGTAATCACAGAGTAACAGGACAGTTTAGGTTGGGGGGGGATTTTCATACGCCATCCAGTACAAGCTGAATTACATGTGGTTGCACAGGCCCTTGTTCAGTCAAGTTCTAACACCTCCATGGACGGACACTCCACGCACTCACTAGATCCCTCCTTCAGTGTTTGACCATTCTCCAGGTTAAAAACAAACAAACCAAACCAAACCAAACCCAAAAAGACCTTCCTCGTAGCTAAACCAGCTTGTGTCCGTTGCCTCTCATCCCACTGCCATGCACCTCCAAGAGGAGCCTGGCTCTATAGCTTCCCACGCACAGCAGTAAGATCTCCCCCTCCTTCACCTTCTCTTAAGGCTGAACAAACCCACCTCTTTGTTTCTCCTTGAATATCATGTGTTCCAGCCCCCTAATAGCCTTGCTAGTCTCACAGGTGCCGAATAGAGGTGAACAGTCACTCTTTCGACCTGCTGTCCCTCAGCCGCATTTACTAATACAGCCCACAACGCGGTTGTCCTTCACTGCAACAGCACGCTCAGACGCATATTCAGCATGTGGTCCACCACAACACACAGGTCCTTTTCTGCAAGGCTGCTCTCCATCAAGTCTTCCCACAGCCTGTTCTAGTCATCAGGCTATTCCATGCCAGATGCAGGGCTTTCTTGTTGCCTTTGCTGGAATTTGTGAGGTTCCTGTCAGCCCATTATCTCCATCCCATCAAGATCCCTCTGAGTAGCAGCCCTGTCCAGCCTATCTACCCCTCTCCTCAGGCAAGTAACAAACACTGCTCTCTACTTCAGCTTTTTAAGAAGATAATTTTGTCTCTGTCCTTGGATCTCAATTGCAGTCAGCATGTACACGAAGCTGCAGAAGTTATGAGCCCTCTCTCAGAGGGCGGCCATTCAGACACCACACAGTTGTGTGACAGGTCACCTTCCCTTTCTGACCGCTTCTGTACAACACCATCGCTTGGACCGTCCTTCCTACAGGCATTTACCAAGTCCCAAGTACAACAAAATCTTGAGTTCTCCGAGACTGGAATACTTGGCTCTGATTCTCTAAAATAAATTCAAGTTTGAGCAAAAAAGCCCAGGAGAATACCGTATCATTAAATCGGTAATTTAAAAAGTTAGATAAAACCATTTGTAATTAACTGTCCTTTATTACATTCACTGTGCAAGATATTTCCATAAACAAAGAAATTATAGAATCTTGTCTTTTCAGACGCTGATGCTACAGGCCTGTTAAGAGGTTATCTTCCAAGTAGAATACTTTCAATTTGACATTCAAAATTCATGCACGAAAATTCAATTCTATTTCAGTGACAGAAATAACACTTATCCAGAAGTGATCAAGACCCAGATGTGCAATAATTTTCAGTCAACTATGTCCATAAAAAAAGAAGACATATCCAAAGCATACTGAGCAGTATTATCAAAGTACTAGGTGGTGACAGAAATTATATACGTATCCCTTCTTAATATTTACATTTTCTGGAGACTGCCCCCAAACTGAAACTGTAACTGTGAAGTAAAATTAGCATAAAAGAATACCATTAACTTGATATCTGCACTTAATATGAAAATCATCTATGATTCTTACTACCCAAGACAAGGAAAAATCCCTTTCCAGTTTGCCCACCCCATGTCCTTGAAATTATTTAAGTGTATCTTCCACGAAGGATTAATCTACATTCCTTTGTTAGTAAGCAACAGAGCAAAAGAACCTGAGGAGTTCCACTCGTTTGATCGTTGCTTTACCAAATAAACAGGTATATAAAGCAAACAAAATTTTTCAAAAACTGATCACTTCCTCTTTCAGCTTTTGAAGATCCAATCACCATATGCTATCTTATTTCATTGCTTAAGTCAAACAATTCTAAGGGGTAAGAGAATCTTAAGGCATCCAGTTCCAAACAGCGAAAGTTTGAATTTAATTCTGACACTAACACAAAATCTCCACTTACTATGTGGTGGTGCATAGAAAGCACAGAGTCACATAGCTGCAGTCAATCAGAAGTAAAATTCTTCCCATGTACGGTAACATACTTGTTACAATAAAATTCAGTAAATGTAATAAGTAATATACATCAAATTAACACCTATGAACTTCTGTTAAACTGCCTAGTGCTCTCCACTCAAATACGGTAGGCAAAATGCAGAATAAACCTGAAGAGTTCTGCTTGCCCACGGAAATGCAATGTAATTCACGTATCTGATTTTAATTCACTTACGACACTTTAGACAACCACTACCACTAGAAAAAGTACTTCCAGCATGGATGCCTGTTTTTAAGGGTTGTAAGGCCAAAAGCTTTTTCCTTTTCTCATTGTAGATTAGAATACGGATGCTAGCATGCAGAGACTTACAACAGCTTTCTCACTAAGGTGACCTGAAACACTTCTTCCTAGAGTAGTACTGGCCCCAAAGTTGCACTGACAGACTATTCACTGTTGCTCACTTGGCTGAGGTCTGCAGTTAGTGAGGAACAGGCTCCTGTGGCAGGCTACAGCCAAATTGCACTTTGGGTCCGAATTACATCTTTCCGCTTTGGCTGTAGAAGGAACCAAAGGAAAATAGCTTTCTTAGGCTGCAATAAGGCATTGTCACCAGCCCCAGCATGTTCGCAAAGCGACACGAAACTACGCAATGGGATAAAGAGCCGCGCATGTGGGATCTCCCACAGAACAGCCGGAATTAGCAGCTGTACGTAACAGGCTGTGGTTCCTAGCAGATCTGTGCGCTTGTGGATCACCCGGCAAGACAAACTTGATCCAGACAAAGCAAGGGCGCGTGACTGCATTTTGAGAAGTCAGAGCAGATGACAGGCATTTTGTATTGGATTTACACGTTTAAGCCAGCTGCAGAAGGGCAGAAAATACCTAATGACTAACACGTCAACATTTTTTCAACAAAGCTGAACTGGTGGAGCGAGTCTGTAGTGACCCGACACCTGCAATAGGTGGCCGCAACGCAGTTCAACCTGCAATCAGAGCCCTAATACTCATTTTTCTGTACTACTGAACTATGCCTCTGGTCTCACCCCAGCAGCCAACAGGTTACGGAGGCCTACCCTTCCTGCATCTCGCCCCCGAAAAGCGAGGGGTCCACGCAGAGAGCGGAAGCGCAAGAATAAAGGAAGGTTTTACGTCTTATATCAAGGCTTCAAGCGGACTACGCTAGTTTCTTTTTCCTGACTTACGCTTTTAAAAGCTTGGGGAACACCGGTCTAAACAATTCGTCACGCTGCACTTCCACTCTTTTTTAACA